TCGCAACTTACTGTAAGGTCGTGGGTTCGAATCCCGTCAGGGGCCTGACGTTGTGTCCTAGGGAAAAACACTTTACACGAATTTTCCTCACTTCACCCAGGTGGGAATGGGTACCCGGCTATAGCCAGCGAAAGATCTTGTCAGTTTGTTAGTGTTTGAGTTTGAGCGTTAATCAGCTGCTTGCACAGTATTCTTCCCGGGAAATCTATGGACTGCTGGGGTAACAATATTCATGTAGTGTAAAGCGTAAAGAGCTTACTGTTGAGAGGTGGTATGCGCTATACAAATGCTATTTATTATTATTATTATCAACATGTAGGCTAAAGCTTCCTTGTGTTGTGGTAGGCATAAGGTGTAAAAGAAAACCCATAGTATTATATACATACACAGTAGCTTGTAGGCCAACAAGAACCAGACATCTCACAAAAATGTTAAAGACTATAGTAAACGAGACACGAAAGTAATATTTCAGATGCATAAAATGCATAAAAATCTTTATTTGGAAGTTAGATTATAATATAAAGAAAGTGCAATCTTTCACAAAAACTCATGAAGAAACCTTCATGTATTGTTTCACACGTATCGACACACTCTACAGAACACTGCAGCAAGAGCTGCATACCTGAGCTTATCACTGGATGTTGTTGGAAAGAAAGTTTAGTTTAGTAAGCGTTTTACGGCACTTGCAATACAATAAGGTCATCTAAGTGCCGAAGATTAGAGGTGTTACAAGAGAGTAACAAACACAAAAAAGAAGGAGGGGAGATAAAGATGATAGATGTTTGATAGGAAAGCAGGAGCAAACCACACCAGAGCACCCGCCAACCACCCACTTGGAAAGAAAGGTGAGAACACAGCAGTTGCTGGATCCATAACAACAACAACAGCATTTAAAACGTACAAAAATAAAACAACTGAATTTGCACAGACCAGAAACAAGTAAAATCATTCATTAGAGCAACAAACTCAAAACTAAAAGACAGTATCTTATTATCTATAACTGCTCTGACTTTAGAAAATGACCAATCGGTAAAAACCCAAAAGAGGACAAGAAAAATCAGTTTTGTGGAGAAAAATAGCATTGCAATTACCAACCACACTAGGGAAAATAGAAACACAAAATGTAACATCTCTCCCCCCAAAAAAAACCAACAACAACAAACAAACAAAAAAAACCCAAACAATTTAGTCAAATCAGTCCACTTTCATTCTAAAAATTAGGTAAATAAAGTTCTCTGAAATTGATTGTGTAAACAGTGGAAAGTAGGCCCTACTTATGTACAGTCAAACCTCGTTATACCGCTTACCTAAGAACAAGCATGGTTTTGTTTGGGTTTTTTTTGGTAAGTGTTTTACAGCACTCACAACTGCATAAGGTCATATGAGCGCGTGGGACACACCCAACATTTCCAGTTGGTAGGAAATTTTCAATTTTGCGCGGGTGGGGGCGGAAGCCTACTCTTATCCATTATAAACCACCAAGGGATCTTTAACGAGCGCAACTTAAACACGCGCCCTCCGAGATTTTTCGCCCTTGTCTGAGAAGGCTAGGTGTAGAGATCTTTCCAACCAGAAGATCAGGGGTGTAGCTGAAAGACAGCAGTGAGAAGGAGCCAAAGAGTAGCAGTAGAAAGGCTACAGAAAGAGTCAGAAGCCAAGAGAAGGGGGCAAAGAAGGTGAAGAGATGGGGGCAGACAGAGAAGACTAAAGCAGACAACAGAACAATGCTAGAGAGCAGGAAGGGAGGTGAAAGGAGACAATTTTAGAGAGGAAAATGTTTCCGCCGCTACCCGGATTCAAACCCAGGACCTTTGAATGAGAGGCAAACACCTTAACCTCTAGGCCACGAGAGCCCCCCTAGCATGTTTAGTCGGCAGTACAGCCAGGCTGGTCGTATAACGGGATAGCACTGATTCTCATCTTGACTAATGCTAGACTGGCAGCGACTAGAGACAAACTTTGACCACTCTCAACTTATCTAGATCTGTCTTGCACAATTGCCATGTGCAGGGGAAGAATGAGTAGCCACCAATTACATGTACAGCTCTACCTGAACTTAAAAACCATACAAATCAGAGAGATGGTGGATGGGCGGACAAAGGCACAAATACTATGTTTATATAGGGGTCCTTTTGTACATTGGCAAAACCTGGCGGTAAACAGGGCTGGCGGTATAATGAGGTTTGACTGTGAAAACACAAAAGAGGACAATAAATATACATGTTACGATGCGGGTGGAATCAGGTGCTCGTCAATTTTGGGGTATAAGAAGTTATTGGTACCACTATAAAGCTTGTTCATTTGTCTTGTTTGTGATTAAAAAATTATCCAACCATCTTGAATAGACATCGAGATATTTGCAATTGAAGGAGGGGGTCACTTGATTTCAGAGGTAAAATTAGCGAGAAAATGGCTGCCAAAGTCTGGAGTCTAACATAGCTGAGAGACCTTGGATACAAATAATTTACATTTTTTACTCCTTTTATAAACTTTTTTCATTGAAATCTTCACAGAAATGTGTTTTTCAATAGATATAAAAGGTGATGAACCAAAAAACTAAAATTTGAAATAAATTGCAATACCAGCAGAAAAATGCAGATTTCTCCGATTTCATGATTTTGACGAGTGCCTGATTTCACCACGCTGCCTCACAAATGTTTTGTGTAGAAAATCATCATTGCAAATACCACACTAGGGAACATAAAAATATGAGTAACACCTCTTGAAAAATGAACAATTTCATCAAGTCAGTCAACTTCCATCTTAAAAATTGAGCAATACATTTCTCTGGGTACAAAGTGTAGATCATTTATATAGAAATAAATAGCAGATCAATATATAAATAAATTAAATATGAGATGGTTGAAGACAAACTGCATTGTTGGACAGAGTTGTCAAGGTTTCAGAATAACAGGGACAGATTATATATAAAACCGAAAATGAAACAGAGGCCTATACTTTTAAGTACTAAAAATTCATAACGCTTTCAAATACAGTGGAATCCTGTTATAACGAGAGGGGGGGACTGGTGTGAAATATCTGTTATAGCAGGATTCCCATTATAAGTGGACCCCACTGTAACAGTATAAAAGAAGATTGCAGCAAAACTGCAGCACACTTCAGAAAAGTCCGATAAGGTTACATAAAATTTAGGTTAATCAGTGGTGTTCTTCCATTGTGGAAAAGCGTAATGTGATGCTGCAACAGTACATAATGTACTTTCTAAGAATGCATTGTGTGATCGATTTTGCTGCGCTTGAAAGCTTTGTTTACGAGTACTTCACGGAGGTGTGTGTTAGGACAGGAATTTTCCAGTCAAAAAGAGACGGATACCAGCCTGTGTGGTGTAGTGGGTAGGCTCCTGGCCATTGCATGCAGAACACCCCGGTTCAAAACATGTATAGAGAGAATCTGTATTGAGCGTTTTGACCTTTCTGCAGGGATTTTATATCCTTTTAGCTTTAGTAAGTGTTTTACGGCACTTGCAACACAATAAGGTCATATGAGTGCCAGAAGATTAGAGGTGTAACCAGAGAGTAACAAACATAAAAAAGAAGAAGGGGAGATAAGGACAACAGATGTTCGAAAAGAAAGAAGCAGCAAACCACACCTGAGCACCCACCAACCACCCACAATACATGTATAGAGAGAATTTGCATTGAGCGTCTTGACCTTTCTGCTGGGACTTTCAATCCTTAACAGCCTAGGTTACAACAGGAAGGTCGTAAAACACCTACATACAAAAGGGAGAAATGGATAACATTTGTGTGCAGCTATAGTGCTGTCCACGTGGTTTTATGCACACAAAAATGGAATTATGCGATTCTATTAATCTTAACAAAGAATGATAAAAGAAAATAATCAGAAATTACGCAAAAAATGATCAAATTTTGCTCAATTATGCTGGGTGCATAAAACCCGGGGACAGAATAGTGAGTGTTGTCCAAGCATGATGAGATGAGATTGGTAAGGGAAGGACTTATCCTTTATCATCATTATTGAGACAAAGGTGGAAACTGAAATATTACCATTATAATAATTGCTGTATGACTATTCCAGAGTCACTTTACTTTTAAAATGTACATATTTATCAGGCACTTGCACAATTGGTCGTTTTTAAGGACAGTGGGCTAACCCAGATATCAGGGGTTTCCAGATATCTTCACCTACACCAAGAGTGAGCATTGCCCTACCAATAGGACAAGTTTGGTTTCATTGGTGTGTATATTTGTTTGGTTATAGAGAAAACTCTCCTTGTCTTTTAAAGAAACTGAAAAAGAGGCAAAAACTTTACCCTCGATTTTCTCAAAACAGCATTTTTCGGGATAGCCCCCTTGTGCTTAAAAGCGACCAATTCAAAAGTCAACACCGGGTGTTTCATTAGTGGTTCAACAGAGTGAGTTACAAGTCACAGGTGTTTTGTCACATAAAGAGAGGCAGCCTTTCTCTTTTTTCTCCCTCAGTACATGCTCTACATTTCAGTTTTCATGCTATAAAATATAGTAATATATTTATTTTACCAATTCTTTTAATGTCTAATTTGAACATACTACAGAGAGAGAGATAGAGAGGGGGGGCAGAAATAGAGAGAGAGAGAAAGAGAGAGAG